GATCACACTACCAGAATTCTGAATGATATGGCTAATTCTTTTATCCTCTCCCACACTTTCAGTTTAACATGTTTTTAAAGAGGAGTTGAATCTCCTGGAGATGGCACACTTGGCATTTGTGTCTCCATATTTTTTTCCTGTGACTGTATCACCTCCACTTTCTACCTAGTCTAGAAGCTCCTTGAAGACAAAGAATCTTTCGATACATAGTAGGTCTTTCTTCACAAAATGTTGTCCATTCATTTGGGCCTTCAAGAGCACCTGCATTTTGGTCATGTCCCTTTGTCAGCAAACTTGAGATGTGGGATGGTCAGTCTTAGCAAGCTAAGAATGTATCTTCTGGCTACTTTGTGAGCACATGGTTATTCTTGTTCCTGACTTTGTCAGTGTGTAGACAGGAGGAAAGCCTACTGAAAGGACTTCAATGTGGTTTCTTCTCAGGTCCATCCTAATGAAACAATGTGCCAGTCACTGACATTATAATTGCTGTGAGTCACACCATGAGTCACATGGGTTGTCATGGCAACTTATTAACCATATAACCAAAGTACCTTCCATTAACTTTGCCAAAAATGGTTCCTGAGTTTTCCTGGACTGTAAAAATAATGTGGGTGAGCTTCAAATTTGAGGTTGCTAAGAGTCTACAATCAAAAGGAATGGTCTCAAGAAAAGGCAAAGAAAATGAAAAAATAAGGTTATTCTAATTCTTGGACCTCCTGAGTAAATGGTCACAATCTTGACAAATTGTTGGGTTCATTTTGTGATATCAACAAATGCCTAAGGAGAGAAGGTTGAGGCCTCAAAACTAATTTTCTCTAAGTCAAATTCAAAGCCAAGTCTCTGGGGGAGAAAAGTGAATACATTAACCTATTTCACTTTAAATGATTGCAATAAACACTTTTTCTTCATGCAGAAACAAAGAACTATTTCTCAAAGAATTATTCTGATTTGCACTAAAATATTTTTTGCTACTGAGAAATAAAATATCTTTATAAATAACCCAGTGCTTTAATTTTATATTTTAGGTTTTGGCTTGCTACAAGCAAACAACTGACTATATACAAAATTATCCCTTAAAGGCTATTTGTATTAAAATTAAAATAATTCTGAAGTTAAGAAGCATATTTTATTTTTCTTTTTACTGGAGGAAAACAGACAATAAATCAGATTAAATTGATACATTTTCTCAATTGTTAACTGAGTGACCCGCAATTTTTGCATGCTTGTAAATGCCTGCCTATTTCTGAGTGTGGAAGAGAACAAGCAGAACAGACTTATACCGGAAGAATAAGGAATATAAACAAGGATGAGAACAGAAAGAGTGAGAATGGTCTGTTGCCTCTGGAAACAACCCAGGGTCCTACCAGGCACACTTTGGGTCTGCATTGTGGTGATTGGCAGGTACATTCTCTTGGGTTATGACTCTATGAGGCTAAATTTCCCAGTAGCTTGAATAACTAACAGGGTCTGTAGCATTTTTTTTTTTTTTACTTTTTGACCTCCATATTTGTCATCTTCTAATATTTTAGTGCATGCAAAACTATCCAAGCAGAATTGGATTAAGAAGTAAGGAGCAAATGACCAGTTGTTCTTGGCAAATAATAAAAAACTAAGACAACAACTGATGCCAATAAAAAGACATTTATCCACACGGTACTGTTTCAATGGGAAAGAGACCAGAACAAACTTGTGAAACACCAAAGCAAGAACAATCTTAAAAGTATCTAACCAAACACAGGTGCTATATAATCACCCTGAAAAATAGAAATTCTATATTGTCATGTAAAATTTATCTAATATGTCCCTATCCCACAAGAAAAAAAAAACTCCCTTTTATGTTCATACACCAAAATTTAACAGCAACATTTCCTATCAGTATTTGAAGAACACCCAAATATAAGAATTCCTTTACCACTTTGGTCATGATGACTGTTCTAGAAACTCCAAAGCCTTGCTTTCCTCCATTGGCCAAGTGATGTTAATGACAAGCAAAAAGTACCCTTCTCCAGAACTCAGAAAATCCCAAGTACTCCAAAGAATGTGGATTCCTAGAAGCTAGAAATCAGATTTCCTTCCTGGGGAATTTCTGCTTAAAGGACCCCAAATTATTATTATTATTATTAAGATTGTTAAGCAGTACCTGTACTTAACAAGGTGGCCTAAAATATTATCAGGTGCCATACTATTCAGGTTCATTTTATAGTTTTCACACCTCTGACTGGTATACTTGTGAGCTGACACTCTGGTCTGATAATATATTCTGCAACTGTACATGTTAATTTGTAAGTTGAACACTTCCTAACTGTAAGGGCAGTTAGGAAACCCAGATTGAATTTGCTAATGGGGGGTGACTTCAGCTGTCCATGATTATACAGTCAAGTCCTGACCAAGGTTTCCAGAACTCAGGCTAAAAATGGAAGTCTTGAGACAGTACAAAAATGAATTCATACACTCCACTGATAGTGAAACTTTTGAAGAATAGATGTCAAGATGATTTAAGAGGTGCTGGAATTTAACATCTAAGGAAAACTTATAGGCAAGTTAGGACAGTTCAGTTTTCAAGAAAAATTCGACGGATGCTAAAGAAGTCATTTGGGTGACCTTTTTAAAGAAAGAACTGATTGATTTTCTTTGTCCTCACAAGTTGTGGGCCCTGTAGAGATGCTAAGAGCAGAAATCCAATGGGCTGTCTGCTGAGCTGGGTGACAAAAACAATCTGCATGGTTAAGTGGCATGGAAGACTCACTACCATGCATCTTAGACAATTCAATTTCTCCTGGGCACATGCAAACGTCTGTGCCAACTGTCTCCTCGGGTGCTATTCTTCCCCACTTTACATTCGGACATTTTATTTTGCTCCCTCTTCCATTATTTGAGAAAGTAAACATCAACCAAAACACCAAGATGACTCCTGTCCCAAATTCTAATACCTGTATAACATAAAGGAAACTTTAAGCCTACCTAATTTACTTTATACTTAATGTCTTAAAATTTTCCATGGCTCAAAAGGCTCTCAGAATCCACCCACTCCACCTATATGTTGCTTTTGTTTACAGCTAGGTATGCTTGTCAGAGTCTGCTGAAAGGCCAACTTCGTTACAGTGCCTCTTCCTGGGACTTGAGGTTTTCTCTTACTAGCCACCACTTCCATGCTGTCACCTAAGTCCTTCCATAAATCCAACCACAGATTATTATTTCTTCAATGGGCTGATGCAATTATTCTCAGGGAGGACAGCTCCTTGAAGGTTCCAACAGAAGAATGGTATAGATATTAGCCAACATCTACAGTCACTGTCTTATTAGTTGAGGGGTACTCTGTGTAACAGTGGAATTGAACTAGTGGTTTTGTCCACTTATTCAGGCACCAAGTCATAGTGCAAATAGTGGCTTTCTGAATATTGCCAGGTGGTCAGGAGTTTGTACCCCAAACCACCATAAACAATAGGCACAATCATCCACCTCTGTTCAGGAGAGGCCCAGGACTGAGCTAGCAGAAAGACTGAATTACTTACCACCTCTAGAGTGGGTCCCTCCAGGCCAGGGACGAGCTCATGGGCAAGGCTGTGCAAGGAAGCGCTCTGTACCATGCCTGCCCTGCGGATATACAGAGGACTTCAGTCTCCTGCACTGTCAATCTCTCAGTCATCATGAGCTCAATTATGCACCGACAACAGCAAGAACAACGACGACGACGATGACAAAACAACCCCCAAAAATCGAAGGGCCACAGACTACCCTGGTGGAGGGACGGACAGCTAGCTGGAACTGTGCATTGAGAGCTGGAAGGTGCTGTCCTAAGCATGTGTCCATTAGAGGCCTGACCTTTCGATCTTTCCTCAAACAAACATTCCATTGAAGCCCATGGGAGAGCCACGTGGAGCGACTATAGGACTCGGTGCTAATCGTCAGGCAGCTATTGAATTTGGTAGTTTAATTTTTTTTCTTCACTTTTGTGCTTCTACAAATACAGATAGACAGACAGACAAACCCAAGAGCAGATTTCAAGAATCAACTGAGGCACAAGATAAACTATTTTGATGTTACACAGATTTTTTTTCCCCCAAATGTTTCACATGAAACCAAAAATCTTACAAGCATTATTTGGAAAAGTTGGGGGATATGACTTTGTCAGCCCTAAATTGTGCCATAAATATTTCCTCTGCTTGCCTTAGAAGGATGCCCAGACATATCTCATAGGTAACACATATCTATTCAAAACAGTTACCAAATTCTAATGACACTATTAACTCAAAGTCTAAGTAATATGCTGGCCAAGTACAATGAAAGTTGACTGCCTACACCAATGACATATTCCTTTCATCCTGAGGTTCAAGGCACAGTCAAACATCGCTCAGATTGCAAATCACAACACTTTACACTGACGTGAACTTGTAAACTTATGGTATCGTTTGAATGAAGGCAATTGATGAAAGCAGTTGAACCTGAGAAGTGGGAATGAATACAGAGGATAAGACCAGTGCACTTTTCCACATCCAACTACCGATGCCATTTACCAGTGTCCTCATAGGACACACTCATGGTCGAGCGACAGCGCCTCTATTCCCAGTCAGTGTCTCTGCTCCACACACACAAGCACAAAACAGCATAAATTGTGAACTGGTGGTGAGTAAAAGGAGACCAAAGTTTAAAAGAAATCGAGGTGATGTTTCCTAGAAACATACCGGCTCTTGTAAGAAGGATCCTCAGTGAGGGCGACTGGTAAGTAATTAGTTGATCCCCCAGCTAGATTTCTCTAAGGTTTAATGGTTCGAGTCACCAGAATTCATCAAAATTTATCTCTAAACTGTCTTGAACACACACTCAGTACAAACAGGTGGAGAGGTACCACTTCCGACAACTACAGGTAGAAAAGTATGACCTCTGTTGACCATGGAGCACAGCTGAAACATAAGTTTATACTTGGAGGGTCACAGCAGCCAGACATATGCGAATTCCAACTCTTCAGAAAACTTTGGACAAAAAAAAAATGCATTACTTACATGTATGCGTCTTCTTCGTTACTGAGATACCTAGAAGAAAACAAATAAAGGGAACGGTAAGAAAATGTAATGTGTAAGCTTCTTTGAATGCACTCAAGAATGCACTCTGCCCACACGGTGATCTAGAGACAAGATTACTCTTGGTCACATACAGCAGTGACACTGGCTGTACCCCACAGCAACGCACCCCCGAGAGACTGGACAGGGAGCACTGCATACTGGCTTAAGAGCTAAGGAGGTAACAAGAAGCAGCACAGACGATAATTGAACAGGTTGAGAGAAGGCTCTTTTTTATTTTAAGTAGGGGTGATGATCAGGTTTATAGGCAGAGTGGGGAAGATTTAAGGCCCAGGAGAGTGATGACAATCTACTCAGACAAGAGTGAGCTGAGCAACAGACCAATTAATTTGCTATGGCCATTGATTGTGTTTACTTTTTAATGAAAATGACTCTTCCTGCTCACATGAAGCATAACATTTAACGATGAGGGAAAATACATCCACAAAATGTACCTATTTTTCCACACTTATTAAGATCCAAAGGAAATGGATGCTACTTCTCGGCAAATAACACCAAGACAAACACATACTCCATGAAAATATGAAGGACTCATGAGTCACCACACTTGCTGGTTCTAAGATGATTTACAGAGAGAAGATGACAAATGCAACTAAAAAGACATGGCACATAAGACAACAGAAAGATAGCATGGGTGCATGCTTTGACATCAAAAGCACTATGTCTGCTTCAGATCTTTCCATTTTGAATTCTACGCTTCATTATTCTTGGGGGATGTTCTTGAGACCAAATAGGCTCAAAGTAATAAAACTGTCGAAAACATTTAGCCTGTGACTAAGAACTGTGGTAAACCTTGATTTTTTTTTTTTCCTCTTTCAAGTTATTAAGAGAACTACTTAACCCTCCTCTGGAAAGTAAAAGTTGTTGAAAGATTTGGCACCCACATTAAACCTATTACCTAACTAAGGAACATATCGTACAGGGAAGAAATCCGTTATGAAAATTCACAGGAGATGTTAAAAATTGTTAGTTCCAAAGTTGTGCGCCAAGACCAAAATCACACACTTGCTCCCTCCACAGTTTTCCGAAGGACTTATTTAGGGAAGCTGAAATTACATAGCCCGACTCAAATTCTTTTTTCCCCTTTTATTGAGGAAAACTAAACTATTGTTTTTCATCATGTTGGAGTTGGCTGCGCAAAGTGAAGTTAGAACCTTCAGCAGAAAATCTTGAAGCCTTTCTCACATGGGAACTACAAAAGTGTTCTAGAAATTTTTGAAATAAGTTTATCATGGGAAAGGAACTTGCCCCAACAGTAACAGTGAGTAAAGTTTAAAATCTGAATATAATTTGCAACTCCAGCTCATGAAACCAGCACCCATAAACTGATACATTAGTGCTCCTTCAGCATTATGAGAGCTATAGGTGTACTTTCCTTAGGAAATAAAGCTTTCTGTAAAATCACTTTGAAGAGAAAGCGCTTATGCTGTCACTCCTGATTATTCAGAACCTCCACACAATTGGATTTAACACAGCCCCAAACAGACCTATCTATATTCGCTGAGTGTGGAACTATTTTCTCCTGACATCCAAAGGCCTGATGAAAATACCACTGCTTTGACTTTTCTACTTAAATTTATTATACAGTGTGATGCAGTGTTCTCATCAAATATTTTCATGATGATTACATTGATAATAGATTTTTGAGAATATTTCTGGGAGAGCTGCCTGATGTTTCAGATCATAGTAACACAGAGCTAATGCTTCCATCTGTCTCTTGGAGAAAGCAGGACTTCCAACAGCAACACACACAGTCCCTTAGTTTTGTTTAACTGCCAACTAGTGATCACTATAAATAGGTATAAGTAAGGCTTATACCTATCTCAGAGCTGCCAGATTTAGTGGACAGAAAAACAGGAAGTCCAGCTAAATTTGAATTTCACATACTAATTTGTTGATATAAAATTCAGATTTAATCTGGCAGTTCTAATCTGTACCAATATGATATGAATTTTATTTATGATGTACAATGAAGAGTATGTCAATCAATGAATAAATTTTAAGAAAGGCTTAACACCACACCCCTCTCACAGAAGTAATATTTAAAAGTGTATTATGGAGATTGAACTGTGTATAACATTTAATTTAAAAAAATCTATGATAGCCGTTATAAAGACAAACTTCCATTTCCCTTGGAGAAAAATCTAACAAACACAATGTGTACACACAGAAGAAAAATTTAATAGAATTGTCTGAAAATTTACTGGAATTTCCTTCCTTCTCTTTGGGGGAAAAAAATTGTCATCACATTGATGTTACTCCTTTCTCTATAGAAACTCTAGTGCTTCATATTGAGGGACTCCATGGAAGTCTGAAAACAGCATTTTCATCTCACAGATAGGAAAACAGAGATTCAGGAAAGTTTTTTTAGCACATGAAAAAGTTTTCTGTGAAAAGGTAATATTAGTCTACAAGGGCATCCACCGTACATATTTAAAAACCCTGTTATATATAGTGCCTCTCAAGAGAGTAAATATTCAAAACCCCCATTTACTCCCTGGAGAATTCCACTCAGCAGTCAGTTCTGTAAATAATTTAAACCCACAGGGCCTTCACCCTCTACCCCCTCCTGCTTTTCCTAAACCAGGAAGTCCCACCTAGGTTTGAGTGAGAGCAGGACTCAAACTGAGACGCAGGCCTGCTTTGTGACCAGTAGCTATTTCTTCAGCCTTACATATGGGTGAGGTGGGCCTTCCTTGTTCTTTTCTGTCTTTTCCCAGGGTTTGGAAGATTCCTGTCTTTCTCACCACATAGTTCATCTTTAGCAAAACTATAGTAGTCATTTCTTACCCACTTTAATCCTTAAGTGGGAGGGAAAGACCTTCTGAAAAATTCCTTGTTGCCCTAATGCTATCACCAACAACACTGAATCAAGGAAAAGAACAGCAAAAACAAATATCAAACTAAAAAGCTTCTATACAGTGAAAGCAACTATCATGAAAACAAAATGACACCCTACTGTATGGGAGAAAATATTTGCACATCATAATCTGACAAGGAGGTTAATATCGAAGATCTATAAAGAACTCATACAACTTAAGAAAAACAAAACAACCCAATTTAATAAAATGGGCAGAAGAGTTAAATAGATACTTCTCCAAAGAACACAGACAGATGGCCAACAGGTATATAAAAAATGTTCATCATCACTTATCATTAGGGAGATACAAATGAAAGCCATGATGAGATATCACCTCACTCCATGAAAATGGTCCATATTAAAAAAATACAAAACCCAAATGAGAAATAACCATTGCTGGTGAGGATATGGAGAAGAAACACTTTGGTGGGAATGTAGAGTGGTCTAACCCCAATGGAAAACAAGACAGAGGTTCCTCAAAATACTTAAAAGATAGAGCATATGGAGCCCTCTCTGGTGGTGCAGTGGGTTAAAGCACAGCAATAAGAAGCTAAAGCCACTTCAGCATGTTTGATCCCAGCCTCAGAGGTGACCACATGGCATGGCAGCCCTCTCCTGACCTGCCCACTGCGCCCCTCAGCAGTGTAATTTCTCAATCTATCTTTTTTGCTCCCCACTCTGTCTCTGGTGATCCTCTCACTGCCCCTGCACCTCTGGCCTGTACCCCAGTTCTGTGTGCACAAATACATCTTAAAAAAAAAAAAAGAGCATATGACCCAGAAATTCTCCTCCTAAGTCTCCATCCTACCTGAAGAAGGTAAAAATACTAATTGGAAGGGATAGATGCACTAATACGTTCACTGCAGCACTATTTACAATAGCCAAGCTGTGGAAACAACCTACGTGTATGACAACAGAACAGTGGATCAAGGAGATGTGGTGCATATGCACAATAGACTACTACCCATCTATTAAAAAAATAAAGGTAGACAAAATCTTTCCCTTTGCAACAACATTGATAGAACTAGAGGGCCAAGAAAAATAAATCTGAAAGAAAAAGACAAATACTGGATTATTTCACTCATGTGAACTATAGAAAGGAGAAAAAAAAAAGTAACTGACAAAACCAAACCAAAACAAACCCTAGAAAGATGAGTGTAGAAGTGAAGCTCTAGTAGGGGGAGATAGGGTGGTACAGGGAACAAAAGGGAAGGGGATCTGGGGTCTGCAGTGACGTGTGTTGGCTATGGGTGTGCTGGCTATGGGTGCTTCGGTGGTGGCTGTGGGGTGCTGACATACAAAGTATCATAAATGAATGTTACCTCAACAAGTATAAATAATAAAGCAAGGGTTTTTAGAGCATTGGATTATTTATTTATTTATTTATTTATTTATTTATTTTTTGGGTAGAATAACAGGGGAGGGGGAGGGACCCAAGAGGTGCTGGGGGTGAGAGGATTCACCAGAGACAGAGTGGGGAGCAGAACAGGCCTGCTGATTATAACATACTGCTGAGGGGAGCAGTGGGTGAGACAGGAGAGGTCTGCTGCTTCATGTAGGTCAGCTCCCTGGCCAGGATCAAACTCAGGCCATAGCAGCAATAGTGGTGATACTTCACTCCTAGGCCACCAGGGAGGCCTGAGCATTAGATTTTTTTTTTTAAGGATTAATTTATGTATGCATACAGAATTGGGGTACAGACCAGAGGTGCAGGGGTGGTAAAAGGATTCACCAGAGACAGAGTGGGGAGCAGAAAAGGCAGATTGAGAAAGTACACTGCTGAAGGGAACAGTGGGCGGGTCAGGAGAGGTCTGCTGCACCATGTGGGTCACCTCCAGGTCAGGGATCAAACTCATGCTGAGGTGGCTTTAGCTTCTTAGTGCAGTGCTTTCATCCACTGCGCCACCAGGGAGGGCCAACATTGGATTTTTTAAAAGATAAAGTATGATGATACACAGCAGGCAAATAGCTCTGAGTCCACTCAGGAGTACAGAAGAATAAACTTCATAAAGATAGCTCTTAATAATGATGTGGCGTCAAGCTGACCTGAGTTTGCATTCTTAGCTGGTATAGTTTCCTGCTTCTTGGCCGA